TATTCGAATCGACTAAACGAGCGAAAATAGAGAATCCAAGAGACTAGACGAATCAAAGTTGGGGCGACTAAGGTGCCAGTTTGATGGTCGTATTAGATACATTACTAACGTTGAAAACTGCGCATGATCGAGTTAGAGTTCTTCCTGGCGTCACTGATTGGCAAAAGTTAAATTTCGGAAGCAGTGATCTATGCGTTCAACTAATTGGTATTCGATAAAATGTCTCAAGCTTATATTCATGCATGCGAAAGAGCAGAATTGCTAGGATTGCCAATACCTACCGAAGAAGAATGGAAAGAGACAGAATGTGCAGAGGGTGAAATTCGCCTTGACGAGGACGATGATGAACTCATTCAGGTAATCACGTTGAGTGATAATAGAAAAAATACTATGAAACTACTACGAAAGACTAACGTTTCATAATTCATTGCTTCGCGATATTGTCATAAACTATCAGAATTTATCGTTTTTACGCCGTGGTATAATTTAATTATTTACAAGTCGTAATTATTTAACGTTAGATTTAATCATTTGTAGAATTTGGATAGCTCAAATGAAGCTTCGCAACGAATCAGTGGTGGATTAGATGAATTAAATAGTATCCTTAATGCAACACAGAAAAAAATTAACAGATTTAAGGTAACACTGTTAATTATATGTTCTGCAAATTTCATTAGACTAAATTATTCCAACTATCAAATTATTGTTAAATAATTTTGTGTTGTTAAAGTAGTAATTCATAAAATTAAACTATAGACTGTATGTGGTAGTCTGGGTACTCTACTAAAAGTAAAGGTGGGATCTCGAACGGATATCTCGTCTGACGAAAAAATCACTGAACGAAATCACAACGAAACAACAAATATTCATGATGAAGCAACTACTAGTGAAAAAGAGTCGACAGAAGAATTATTGGATGACAGAAAAACCTTGGATAATGTAAAACCTGTTCCATCAACGCCAAAAAAGGTAGACATTAATGAAAAGATGGGATCTCATTTGGATAAATTAGATTCACTTATTACGAAAGCAGAAAATGCTCAATACTCTATGCAACATCAGACAAAGCAAATGAAAAAAATCCTAAAGTAATTTATTCTAACATTATTAGACTATTTCAACCAAAGTTAAAATGCTACCTTTGATGTGATGCTAGTCATGAATGCTTGGTATTATAAAATTCCAATTGTGTTTACTTAGTGTGAAAACATATTATACTAAAATATTTCTTAAACACAGGTATGAGAATCTTTAATGAAAGTTTTATATTTTAAAAAGCTAAATGTTTCATTTGCTTGATTGCTCGTTATATTTTGATTGTATCTCACTATGTTGTGTATAGTATACACAGTCTTAAAGAATAATACAATAGTTTTTTTGAAATCTTAAAATATAACTATAATCTTGAAAAATTTATATATAAGCAAGAGACACAATAATAATAAATGTACTACCATGCAATTAATAACATTCCTGTTGTTTAGTAGTAATGTTAGGTAGAAACTGTCTTCCTAACATTTTCGGAGAATTGTATCTATGCAGTATAATGAAATTCCATATCATAATAGAATATACTGTATTAATATGCTAGCTACTACAGATTTTTACTAGAAATGCATCCTTATCAATAAGTTTGAATATTTTTAAACTCTCATATATTTCTTTCTGAGAGAACAATTAAAACAATCAGAATGAAGCCTTTCTATAAACTGCTAAAGATATAACATATTTTGTGTTAAAAATTGAATTATAGATATATATAATATATATATAATTATATTTGAAATTTGAAGTTATTAAATTATAATAGTTAATTATAAATTAATATTTATATAAAATATAAAGTTCTTTTTTGCTACGTTTAAACTTATGTAGTAATTTATACCACCTCTGCTTGAAAATAATGTGCTTAAATCTTTTGATGAAAATAATTTAACAAAGTTCTTAAACAATAATATATATATATATATATATATATATATATATATACCTGTTAATTAATTACATTATAACAAAATCTTGAAAGCTATAACGCAACGTTTTATATGTATGTATAGATATTATAGTATAACATTAAATTATCTCTATAAGGGTAAACAATATTAGTATTAATATATATTGAAACAGATTTTATATAATTTTATGCAAGAAACAATACCCTGCCTAAAGTTGACTGAATATGTACATTAATATTATCTTACAATAATGCTATTGATATAATGTGTATGCAACTGTTGGAAATAATACATTATTGTTATAAAGATTATAGAAGTTATCACAGTACCTGAGTTCAGGTATTAGACAGTATTAATGTGCCATGTACTTATATAATATGGTTTGTTAAAAAATTAATTAGCTTCTGCTGTAGTAGATTTTTATAAATGCAAAGTTATTACTGTTATATTTATTTAAAAAGAAAAGATCTTCTAATAAACTCATCATTTAATGATGTTTATCTATATTTTAAAGACTAAATTATATTTTTACATTAACGATTACATAAATTAGTTATAGTATTGTATATCTTGAATAATTGTACTATTTTTTACATTTATGCCAAGGCAACTACCATTGCCTGTGTGATAACAACGAGTAAACATACGTTTAAGAAGAAAATATGTTGTACAATGAAAATATTTTATGACATATGTCTTCGAATATACCATGTATATTGTATGCTTTATACAGTAGCCCATTCCTTAAACTTAATTTTTATATTTATACTAACTCCGTTAAAGGAAACTACATATAATTTCCTATAATAGAAATATTATAAATATAATACGTAAGGATAAACATAATTTTCATTGTATTTAGTTCAATTGTCTCAAAAATGTATTTTTCTGCTAACTTCGATTGAATTAAATAGTAACAACTGTACTTATTAAATAACAATAAAAACGGATAATTAAATATACGCTTCAGAAAACAAAATATTCATAGGCATTGTAATTTAATTTCAGAATTTCATCTATTCTGACATTTTTCACTGAATTATTCAGTTAGTCTAAATACAAGTCTTTAGATTCTTCTAGATTCTAGTAATTTTCGGAGAAATTCACTAGCTAGTAACTCCTCTGTTGCGACTGTTACGTGTCTCGCTTGTGTACACACCAGTGCGCACATGGTGCGAAGTTTTGATAGGTGCTATCATAACCTCAATCTTGCAATGCTCGCATTATTGGACATTATATGCATACTTGCTCACACTTGTCATTACATTGCCTATTAGACAGTGATACAGTCATTTGCCCAGTGAATACAAATATTAAACAAATTTTACTGTAAATTGTGTACATATAGTTTTATTAGAGTGCACAAATATCTTAATGAATCATTCATTTGCTACATACATAAATAATAAACAAATTTAGCAAATGGAATATTAAATAAAATGAATTTCTCAGCAATTCAGAAATGCATCTTATCAAAGTGCAAAATTAATTTTAATACCTATAGAAAAATTCATACTACTTTCATAAATCATACAGTACTAATAAAGCCTACGTTCTGTACGAGATTAAATTGGCAATGTAATTATAAGAATCTTTTACACATCACCAAACTTCAATTTGGAAGTGTTAAACCTAATGTAGAGTTACCTGCAAGCAGTGTGAATTATTCGGCTCTTCAATTAAAAAAGAGGCCGAAGAAACGACAAAAACCAATTTCCACCGAAGATCATATTGGAGTAAGTAATTACTAAGTTATAGAAAGCTTATATTTATCAATAACGATAGTGAAATTCTGTAAGATTTGCTATATAAATAAATAAACTGTAATTGGTTGATAAATTTAAACTAACCACTTTTTTTTGTTTACAGGAATGGAACATATTAGCACTAAGTACTGCAGAGGAATATGACCTTGAAGGTTTGGTGCAGGCCCTATTGGAACAAAATTTATATGTACCTGATACTATATCTTCAACAACTAGCTGTAAGTTTTAAACAGATATTTCATAACTTTAAGGTAGTACATTTATTAAGTTGATCAAAAATGCTGTTCAGATTTGAATGCCCAATTTTAATGCATTTTGTAGTTTCTTGCACATGAAAATTTCCTATAAATGCATAAAACTCTGCAGCCTACTAATATTTAATCTATTATCTGAACTATTTGGTTTTTGGAATTGCCTTGTACCCAGACATGTTCCGATAAATGAGATTCTACTGTAATTATGTTAGAGAAAATTCTTATTAGAATAATACAGTGAGTACAAAGTATCTTCCTACCTTAAGTATCGTTACAGTTAAATCAGACGTTCGATATATTTCAAATTGGTTGAAGTCAGTGAAACCTAACCTTAATGTAAATATTCAAATTCACATTTAGGTTAAAGCACGAACAAAACAGGATAAAATTTACATTTCGATACATTTTGATACATTTTTGTAGAGCTTCATTCGACATAAAACCGCAAAGGGTTAAATGTTTAAAAAATTCAAAACTTTATACTTTATCATTCAGGTAGAGAACATAATTGATTCTGCATACTTACAACGTGCTGTTACAGTAATGTTATTTAGTGTTTTAGCTGCACATTTATTTAAAGGTTACCAAAGTGAAGAAAAGGATATGCATGCTCTATTTCATTTCAAACAATAGAAATTTTACAGTGAGGTTATGTTTGAAAATTTGTATTAATTATATCAGCGACGATTTGATATCTTTCGTATATTATTAGAAATGTTTCCATGTATGCTTGATTTCCATGATCTTCGGTTTAATGTAAGAAAGAAAAAAAACAATATGGCAGTTATTGTGGACAATAATTGTTATTCGTACATAATCAAATCACATGGTTTTTTCTGTGTTTAATTTCGCACATGATATCCGAATGATGAGGCTCAATCGTACATACATATGTACATAGATTAATAGTGATAGAACAAACATGAAGTGATTCAAAGAGCGTTGTAAAATACATTGTGAGATGTATAAACAACACAACCGTATATTCGTTTAAATGTTTTTGAAACATATAAATAAAGTTTCTTGTAAAAAAACGTTAAACAGAGATAAAGTAAAATTTTATTTTTCATTAAAATTGACATAGTAAGGCTGCACTTTAGTATGGCAGATTAAAATTATTTTTATATATTATTTATAGTAATATACTCATCATTTTATATTTATTTAATTTCATTGAAAAGATCATCACTAAATCTGGTAAATAATACCGAAATAAATTATTTAATTAAAAGATAACATATAACAACACTCTGCAACAAAAGAATAATCATGGACTCCATGCTTGATTTACCTTCTTCGGAAAAAGAATTAGAAGGATTAATAGAGAAGGCAAAGGATTGGGCACTTATGCACGGTCTCTGTATGAGATCGAAAGCAAATTTTAACAAAAATATTCTACAATTTGCACCATTCATTCTGATGCCCTCTCCATTTCCTAGAAAAGAGTTCGACAATGCTTGTCACATTCAAACAGTATTAAACATACTTATACATAGAGTTGCCCAGGATTACAATTTTTTGAAAGAGACTTTAGAAGAGACGATAAAAGTTGACAATTTTACCAAAGAACTGTTCAATATATGTAAAATTGTAAATGATAACGGAGGATCAGCACAAAAAATATCCCTTAGTATATTGCGGTCAGATTTAATGTTAGAAACAAATTGTTCACAAGAAGAGATGGAGAAGAATTGTTTGCCGTATTGTTGCTGGAAACAAGTAGAAATAAACACAATTGCTTCGGGCTTTGGTTGGTTAGGACCTGCTTCCACAGAATTACATAAATTTGTATTAAGAGAACTTGGGCATCACGAAAAAATAAAAAATCTTCCAGAAAATAATGCATTACAAATTATATGTTCAAGTATAATAGAAGCGTGGAATATCTATGGAGACCCACAGTATGTTTAGAAATGAAAAAAAAACGTTTAAAGAAACATTTGTATTTTGTATATAGTTTAATGCAATTTATAATTGTTTACAGAGCAGTCATTTTGTTTGTTATTGAAGACATTACATATAATATATGCGATCAACGCTTCCACGAATTTGAAATTAGGAAGCAAAATCCAAATATTAAAGTCATACGTCGAAACTTAACACAATTAGCTGCCACTGCAACATTGGGTTCCAAAATGGAATTGATAGTTGATACTTACATCGTAGCTGTAGTATATTATAGATGTGGTTATGAACCTGGACAATATCACACAAGAAAAGAATGGGATGTACGATTGTTAATAGAAAAGTCTTTAGCTATTAAATGCCCCACTATTCAATATCATTTAGCAGGAACCAAAAAGGTTCAACAAGCCCTTGCAAAGCATGGTGTCATCAGTAAATATCTAAAAAATGAAAAGGCATGTGCTGAAATTAAAGAAATATTCACTGGTAAGCGAATTGTTTTGTACAGTACAAATGATATTGAAATATGTCGATAAAACATTATGTCATACTGTTTTGTGTAGAACTTTATGCATTAGACTTTAACGATCATGGAAATGCTGCTATAGAAATGGGGATTGCAGATCCGCATCGCTTTGTACTAAAGCCTCAACGAGAAGGAGGTTGCAATAACAAATACGGATCAGATATAAAAGAATTCTTAGAATCTGTAAAATATAAACAAGACAGGGTAGCCTGGATTCTTATGAATAAAATTCATCCTCCGATTCATAAAAGCTATATGATTAGACCGGGAGACAACGTTAATATAAAACCACAGGAATTAGTTTCTGAGTTAGGAATATTTGGCGTTATTATTGCCGATGAGAATAATGTGTATGTGAATAAACAAGGTGGTCATATGTTGAGGACAAAATTAGCTACTGCTAACGAGGGTGGTGTAGCAGCAGGATTAGGTGCATGTGATAGTCCACTTCTAATAGATTAAAAAATATTTGTACATATTACAGGAACATTATAAGTAATATTTTTAGAATAGTTTAAGGACAGGTCGTTTATATTAGTTTATTTTATTGTTTTAATAATTACTGTTATGCATTTTTTTTCGATAAGGTTTTCGTTAACAACGAAAATGTTATTAGATTATTAATAATATTATATTATATAGATTATAATATAATTTGCATTTCCTATTTTTATGTGATAATTTGTTATACTATCTTCAACAAATGATTGCAAAAACTATAATTACAATAAATACGATATGAAACTGTTAAAATATACTAAGATTATAAAATATAGGTACTGGGGCATGAATAATAATAAAATAATATACATTTTACACATCAAAGTATTGTAATTTCATTTTTCTCTGTAATTTAATATCATCTACTATTAAACCAATATTAATGTATTTGAAGATGATGATGTTAAGTATTTGGTAAGTGTTGACTTATTCTGTAGCACTGTATCTAGATTATGTTTGCAGCTTTACCAGATGTTATACATGCAGTAGCAAAGTATGAAATAGAAACTGAACCAAGAGAAATCTTCTTTTTTCGAGAAGGTGCCATAGTGATGTGGAATATCTCTACCTATGAAAGTTCAAACATATTGGAATTTATAAAAGAATACGAAGATAATCGTTACTTTGAAAACATTGTACAGGCTGAAAGTGAAGTGATGAGCTATAGTTATGCAGATATAGGGTAATAATATAAAAAATTAGATTGATTTACAGGTTTACTATTTTTCAATTTTTCATTCTTTTAATACTTTACAGAAAACGTAGTCATATAAAGAACGGTCACATTATATTAGCATTGACTGCAACAAATTTAGATAAATATACATTTTCAAATGCAATGGCTCAATCAGTGAAATTAGGAATATGGGAAGCATCTTTAGATAATTACATACATTCTGTAGAATTTGTTACTGACGATTTAAAATACGGCAGAAAACTAAAAATGACTCAACGTGAGGTATTAAAAAACCAAGGAGAATTATTTGCATTGCGACATTCGATTAATTTAAGCTCAGATTTATTAGATACTCCTGACTTCTATTGGGAACGAGACGATTTAGCGATTCTGTATCAACAGACTTGTGCTTATTTTAACATTACAAAGCGTACAAGAGTAAGTTAAAGAAACCTAATGGAGTTTATTAAATAGCATTTATTGTATATAAAATGTAAATCTATATTTCATTTTATTCTATAGGTCATAAATGAAAAAATAAATCATTGCGTGGAACTCGTAGGAATTTTGTCTTCGCATTTAAGCGATCGTCATCATATTCGTCTAGAGTGGATGATAATCATTCTTATCATGGTTGAAGTTGCATTTGAAATATTACATTATATTGATAAATATTTTACGTAATAGTATATAAAAACCAATCAAAGGTTCAAATAGTTATTACTATGTATAAATCATGTAAATATTCGTTATAATAAAATTAATACCATGTAAGTTGATTTTACATTTTTAATATGAAATGTAACATCATTTTTTGTTAATTAATTATCTACCTGTTTATTATCATGATTATAACAGGCAGTGTATTAAAGTATAAATTATTGAATAAGAAAAATTAATAATCATATTGGTAGAGTATTATTTAATTTAGTTTAAATAATCTACTTCCTAAATAATAAAAATTCTAGACAAACATTTGAGAATCTCATTAAGTATAATACTAATATTCGACATTTATACAGGATACAAACAACGACGACAACCAAGCGTGGCACGTCAATATGTACAATATCGTAGGTACAATTGCAATGTAGTACAAGGACACCTGTTCAATTTCAATGCATTACTGCCGCTTATATTCATCATTATTGATATATAATTGAAATAAGTACACCTTTTGCCACAATGAATTTCAGGTTTTTACTATTAGTTCATAAAATAGAAATGAATAGAAGAAACTTCAATTTGTTTTATTTATAACGTAATTTTCTTTATTTAATATTTCGTTGAATATGGATTACATATTTACGCGTATAAAGTTTTAGTAAATACGTTATACAATAGATTCCAGTTAGCCCTTTCCGATCTTATATTGAATTGCATTCTGAAATCTGAATTATGCCTGTACCAAATTAGCAGCCAATAAGAATCAGGATGTCTGAAATCAATAGTTGCTTTTAATTCATTTTATACAGATATGTCCAGACCAAGCTCCTAGAAATCTGAATCACGTCTGTACCAAACTAATGCTAGTAGCCAATAAGAATCAGGATGTCTGGAATCAATATTTATTTTCTAATTTATTTTATACATTTCATTACTTTAGAAAGCATATTTGTGTCGTTAAATCAGAGTTTAACTTTATGACTATGTAATCAATTTGTTTTTTATATCAACTTAGAATATACCTTGCCCCTCCCTAACAGGACATGTTCCATTCCCATATTCCTATGACCATGGTTTAACATGGACTCGCACTGTTGCCAGATGTAATTTCATCGTGGCTGATAAGGGTAAACAAATTAATATTCCCGAATGGTGCGTCAATGTTGTTACAACATAAATTGCGCAGCATATACTCTACAAAAGATATTAAAACTCCCCGAAAAAAAAGAAATATAAAAGTAATTTTTTTTTTTAATAACATTGGTCGCAAATTTTCAACATAGAATAATTGCATTGCTTATAAGAAACGAGGAAACTTTTGCCCAACTTTCTTCTTACGTTATTTGTTTACAGAAAAAATGCTCAGTATCGAAACATGTACTATTTACCAAGTAAGTGTACGCGTCAGAGACATTTCTAGATACATCCCTGTAAATCGCACGCATGGCACGCATCCCTTTGCGCCTGTATCGAAAGAGAAGTGGAGTCGTAGGCCAGTTTCTGTGATAATAGCACCCACTTGTCGGCTAGCTGATAGCGTGGCAAGTGTAGCTCCGTGCATGTCCGTTTCTCCATGCAATTGATGTCCTGGAAGCTATTTTACCATTGACATCGCTACACGTTTCAATATCGTAATCCTCGAGAAATGGTTAAATTATTCAAGATTTAAACAATCGGTGCCTCGAAGCGGTGCATTTTCTAATTAAAAGCTTCATGGGTGAAGAAATCTACACACGTAAGTAGAATTTTCTGGATAATTTCAAATACATGTTGAATAATTTAAATAAAATCCTCGTTACTCGTAATCATGTAAGGAACAGATTAACGGATGAATTATATTAATTAAGTATGTTAAATGTCATGTGCACGAGTCAGTATACACTGGTTCGTTTCTGGAAATGTTTAGAAATTTAATGGCTCCTGTACGATGAAGTTAATTAATTTTTATTTATCCTAACAGTTTTTAATAATATACATTCGCACACGTTATATTTTTTAATTCGTTTTGATTTATCTTAAAAATTTTAATAATTCGATCCGTGTGTTCCAGAAGTGACAATATACATTGCTTCGTTTCTGGAAATTTTTCGAAATTCGATCATTTCTATGCGACGAAATTAATTAATTTTTATTTATCTGAACAATACTAATTATTCAATTCGCACATTTTAGAGCTGACAATTTAAAAGAAACAGATTTCTTGTGCAATGAAATTCTTTAAAGACGATGATTAAGAAAGTAGTCGATTAAATAAAACATTAATCGAAGTGTATGGAATTTTTATTACGTACGGACGAGCATGTATTTTATTTTCGTTATAAAAGAATATTCTTAATTCAAACGGTACACTACTAATGTAATGTAAACCACGGACAACGACGCGCGTCACAAGCTTCGATTGATCGCCCTTCAAAGTAGGACTTTCGCGCTCATTTTCTTTTCAGAAGCGATACGATTGCCACGCGTCCGTTGCGATGCGTCCCCCCCCTTCAACCCCCCTTCAACCACTTTCCCTTTCTTTGTCTCTGACTGTAACGTCGTATGTAATGATTTTATTACAAACCGCTACTTTTTCAACGTAATTTAACATGTTCGGTTGCCATTTATTGTACAAAACCTAATTTCTTCCTAAGAGTCCTTGAAAGTGAACATTTAAGGAAATTTCCACATCCTGTTAATTTATCAGAATTCAATACATTACGGCCCTGCTTTTCCCTCTTGTAACTTTTATGCATTTTTCTTGAATATCTTCGATTTTCGTTTATTCTAGATACACATTTCGCTCTCGATTAATAGAAAACAAAATTTTCGATGTTCCCAAAGAGTAAAAATCGAAGAAAATTTTCCCACGCCCTCTTAATTTCTCAGAATTCAATACAATCATGTCCCTGTTTTTCCCTCTTTCGTAACTTGGATGCATCGCTTGCTTATAATAACAATATAAGAGTCGTTTTAAGAACCATTGAAATATCGATTCAGGTGCAAATATAGACAGAAGCGTAACGGATACTTGTTGCACGTCTATTTTCAGCGAAAATTGTTCTTCTGAACTCTTATCACTTTTTCACTTATTCACTCTTATTCACTTTGCGTAATATGAAAGTATAAAATTAATGTTGAACTTATTTTTTATCTATAACGAAACTGTATCGAAAGATAACATGGACTTTTTTCCTTGTATTATTCGTATCAGTTTCAACATCCATTACCTACGTCTCTCACGTAGGTTGTTTTCGTTCTATACGTTTCCCATTATAGGAATATTATTATTGTGTTTCTTCTAAAATAAATGAAAGTAACAAAATGACACGTAAAACATATGAATAATTACAAAATCCGATTTAATTGAATTATTCTATGTTTAGACTAATAATGGTAAATAAATTTATAAATTTAAATTTATTACCCGCGTTATATTGTGTATATATATACACACAATATCATTTTCCCTGTTTTTTTATGACCTTACTTTTATTTCATTTTTTTATAGATTAATCTATGTTATACAATGTTCACAATATGCTTTAAATGATCTAAGAGTTTCATTGATCAAGAAGCAATGGATATCACAGTGAAAGACACAGGTAGAGGTACAAGATGGGTTTGTCCAAACGATCGACACTTAGCATTGAGGGCAAAGTGAGTATACATACACGATATGTGAAAATTCTTTATTAAAAACTTCAATTATACTACATATTCTAAATGCATATGCAAATTTTTCTACATAATTAATATAATACCAATAACTAGGTTGCATACAGGATGGTCTGTGAAAACTGGTTCTTTAGATTCAAAATGGGGTAATTATTCTAATTCTTATTCGGGTGGTACAAGTCGATATGCACAATCATTTGTGCTTAGCGAAGAGGAACAACAAACTATCATACAGGTAAATATTTAAATTAAGTTGTAATTAGTTTGTTTACTGATGAAATTGAACATATAAAAATTTGTTCATTTAAAATCCGAGTATTAATTTTTCTTCTTTTTTATGTCAGGTCATTCAAAGAGCAGAAGCTTTGGATTTATCAGAACAGGAACGCATTGGCAGATTAGTGGAAAGATTAGAGAATATGAAACGTAATGTTTGTATCGTCACTGGGGCAAGATTGAATGAGAAAAAGAATTGTAGTACCCGATGTTCCAGCAGTGCACATTGCGTATGTTCTTGTGCTCTTTGCAGTGAAAAATTTGGTGCAGTTTTGGGTGCAACACCAAATCTTTGCAAAGATTGTCGTAAATACATATGCCAGAAATGTGGTATCGAAACCAATGAACTTAATTCAACGTTTCCAAATACTTCGTCGACGAAAGGTGTATTAGCTATGGCGAAACATGTACAAGAAAGACCAACTGTGCAACGAATTGTTAGACGTTCGAGCGGTAGCCAGAAACAATTTCTTTGTAGAATATGCGCTGAAACTAGAGAAATGTGGAAAAAAAGTGGGGCTTGGTTTATTAAAGGCATGCCAAAATATATCTTACCTGAAAAGAAGGTATGTCAATTTGTATGTCAAGAATCTAGGAATCTAAGAATTTCAGATAATAATGCTTTAACAATTTAAATATATTAACATTTTTCTTGAAATATATAGGAACGAGGATGGTCGAGAATAGGCCACAAGCAATCCACCTGGACTATTGGAGGAAATAAATCTCTCGAATCCACCGATCTTCAAGATTCTTCTTCCGACGAAGAAGCAACGCGACGTCTAGCATTAACTCGCGGTCACTCTACTTCTTTTACGAGCTTACAAAGAAATCAGCATAGTACTACTAACAAAACTCTTTCACCGTTCCTCAATTCTGCTCAATCAACTAGTGGTAGCGCATCTAAAATATCACCAGGACAACGATCGAACGATCTGTTATCATTAAATAATCGCGAAGATTGTTCGGATCAATTAGATAGGTCTACTCTTTCCATTACATCTCAATGCAGTCGCGTCTCGCCAACTGCTTCGGTTACCAGTTCTCGTTTGCGTGTGTCATTCGAAGATGAAATTGTCGATGAAAAGAATAAAAAGTTTGATGATCCTTACGAGTTGAAGGACGATTATCGTAGAATAGAGTTTAGTTCGTGTGATCGATTGAAAAGTTCTCAGGTACAATCTCTCAGGTACGTAAGAATGATGAAGAAAGAGTGGAAGTTTAGCTGACGCCAGTTAATACGTTGTAGACCGAACTCTTCGATGCTACCAACGACACCGACAACGCCAATCATCTTAACGGATCAAATTCCAGAACAGTTTCAAACCCACGAGAAACACAAAGCTGGGGAAGGAAGTCGACCGTGTTCAGGAAGGGAGAACCTCCGCGACAGTGCTCACAGCAACAATCAAATCGACTTGCCACGACTACAAACACCGGAGCACGGTAAACATAAAAGATGAATAGAAACTCTTACTTCCATTGAGCGGAAAACTCGAGTATCTTATTCTAGATTCATTATTTAAAAATAATCAAAATGTTATTATCAAAAATAGAAACGGGACAAAGTTATGGAACTCTCGAAGTCTCCTTGCGATACGACCCAGCAGTTCAGTGCCTCCAATGCAAGGTGGAACGAGCGCGAGGTTTACGTCCAATGGATATTCATGGCCTCGCCGATCCATTTTGCAAACTCAACATATTACCAGTAGAGACGATTGCGACTACGAAGCGTCTTCGGACAAAGACAGTTCACAAAACACGGGATCCGGAGTTCAACGAGATACTAAACTTCTACGGAACACCAGAAACGGACGTATGAACAATGCAAATTTTTTATATGATAGATAAATAAGGGATTAACAATTAAAACTAACTGTCCACTAGATATGGAGTGGCAAAGCACTACACATCCTGATTCTCCAGGACGATCCGTCAGGTCAAGACTTTCTAGGAGAAGCGAAGTTTCCCCTGCACGAGCTAGAACCTTGCCAAACGAAACATTATAATGTTCCACTACAAGAGCATTATCCAGTACGTATAATAAAACTTAAATTTCCAATACGAAACTTATTCTCAATACTCTCTCTTTACTAGATAAAAATGACTTAAATGGGAATTGTCTGAAATACTATTTACTGTTATTTATTTTGCAATCATCATTCGCTACTTATTATCACACAGTCCAGTTTGTATCTTATAAATTATTTTCTTGTATACATTTAATGTTTTAATATCACTCATGTATCATTATACTGTAGGCATAACAGTTTCTCTAATTACTTCTTCTCGCGCTTTCAACTTTTCGCGACGGCCGACTTTACTTGCATTATTGCAGACACTAAGATATAAGAGCTCGACGTTGGCATAGGTGAACAATGAAGAGGCAACTTGGGGCGTGTTTTCCAGTGGACGAGGAGAGATTCAAGTGAGTCTAAATTATTGTACAAGACGCAGAGCATTGTTGGTCACGGTTCATCAAGCTACAAATCTACTTCCTATGGATAATAACGGATTTTCTGACCCATTTGTCAAGTTGTGCCTTATAGAAAATGTAACGAACAATCATAAAAAACGTGTCTTCGACTATTCGATTGCACGTATCACCGCCAGAAAGCTAGTATCGAGAAAGATCGTAGGTCGCAGTTCGCAGAACTCGACTACTAAATGGAAAACCCTGAATCCAGAATGGAACGAAGAGTTCAGTTTTACTACTCGATTAACAGACCTTATGAAACTTACATTATATCTGACCGTTTGGGACAAGGATTTCGGCAAGAGTAATGACTACCTTGGTAATATAATGATGTTTATTTATCTACAAAGTATTCGTGAAACTAAATTAATATTTTACTATGTCAACAAAAATTAATATATTTGACTTTTATTTCACATAATGTACTATTTAATGTACAGATCATTATAATTCTTCCCGTTTTTATTTAGGTGGACTTGAATTAAGTTGTAACAGCAAAGGTGCTCGATTGCGACACTGGATAGATGCGATTAAATTTCCAGATCATCGACACCAAACTTGGCACAATTTAACAGATGCTATTTTGCCTACAGAATAATAATAATTTATACTAGTTTCCTTTTTAAATGTGTTATTCAAAACATTCCGATAAGGTCTGTAATTCATATGCATAGTAATCAGTGAACTATAATTTTATTTACACATGATCGGTATTATTGCTCAAAGTGTATTATTATGAAGTGAAAGTTGACACAATAATAAAAATGTTATATTACATACAGTGAATCACTTTTAACGATGATTTTAATGAGCAATTTTATCTGTACATTAAATCATTTTATGATTCAAATTCAATTATTTCATGTTTATTTTTATAAAAAATTGGCATGAGTTACAGGAACTGAAGAAGCGGCTTCTTCTTACTAAAAAGTATCGAAGATGTTGAGTTGTATTTAATCATTACTGCTTGCGCTAGAATCTTCTTCAGCTTCTTCCAACCATTTGATGAATGGTTGTATTGCAATTCGTACATTTTTGTTTTGGAATTCGTCTATATTTTTATCACTGTACCACTCTAAAATTTTTTCTTCTGATAATATATCTTTATCGTAAAGAAGATGTAACAAGTGTTGCAGAAACGGTAGTAATTCCTGTGTTGTACTAGCGACTTCTTCCATTGCGCGTAAACAATCTTCTTGTGCATCTTCTGTTTTGACGTAATTCAAAATTATTGGTTGGAAGTAAGTTACCATGATTTTCAAGTTTTTTTGGTAGTTTTGATTATTTACAATTTCTTTCTGTTCCGAAAGATAATGAAAAGGTAAACTTAATATAGCTTTAATAACGTTATACGTCACTTCTCTCATTGTAACATTATACGCATATCTCGATGAGTTTATTTCCAAAATTAAGTTCTCGCAGTTAAGTTTATCTTGAAAGCCCCTTAATAAACTATCTATTACTTCAGACAAGAACATGTTTGTATCGTCAGGAACAGGTGAATTACGTTCAGAGCCTTCCTCGCTACTTGTTGTATCCGAAGAATAATTATCATTTTCAATCATGTTGTAATCCTTAAAGAACTCGAATTCGTTATCCATATCAATTTTATATATTTTTCTTATAGAAATCTTATTATCTTTTAATTCCAAAATAGAATCAGTGTACTCCATTTGAGTGTTAATTATTGTTCCAGGACATAATATGGACCCATTTAATTGTGCGCTTTTTTTAATCACACAATTTGGAAATACTATACTGTTCAGAATAGTACAATTATCTTTGATTTCGGTATCTGATAAAATATACGAGTTCTTAATCATTACATTACAACCAACTAAACAATTATGACCAATAACGGATCTTGTAACAAAGGTATCGTTTCCAAGTGTGCTGTTTTGACAAAGCACGCTATCCTTCTCCAACGTGCAACCCTTAGCAAGTGTAGCACTTCGATGTTTATAAGTGCTTCTCGGCATGTAAATAAAATCTTTTAAAAATGGAATGGCATTTAACGTAAGCGGGAAACTATGCCTGTTCAAAATATCATGACTAAGAGCTTGGTAGGCATTCCATGATACAATTGGTAGACTGTAATCTTCAGAGTTTAATTGCTGCCAGTAAATTCGAGAATTTAAAATTTCTTCGTTCATCAGCACTCCACGAATAAAATCTTCCATTGTCTAATAGTAACATATAAAAATATATCATATTTGTGTACATCTTTTTTAAAGTAATATGTATAAATTACATTTTACTCTTTTTTGTTACTTTCATACAACAAATTTCTTTCTTAAATTATTTATCATGATAATAATTACTTTTATAAATAATTCAGTTGATAGTAGATAGAGATGTAACAACTTACTTGAAAATCAAAATTATCAGAGAACAATGGAAGAACAGAAGGTGAACATAAGTAAACATGTGTATCCATGAAGCAGGTATTAATCTCGATTTCACCATGATCCAAAAACCAATTCAATTCCAGTTTAACTTTCTTTTCACCATTTCTTAATTTACTATAATGCAGAACTTTCTTTTCAGTTTTGTCAGAAACTAATAAAAATGCTTCTCTCTTTAGTAAAGAATCATTTGTGGAACCAAAGTTTCTCAGTAACATAGTCATTGTTGCACCTTTATCTTTCTCAAGCTTTGCACAGTGATTGCTTAAAGCATTTGTGAGATCTGCATTGATAAACACATCTCCTCGTATGAATATAAAATTCCCACGAATAAAACCTTTCGAATCAATATCTCTAAGCGCATCGCCGAGGGATCTGCAACCCTCTGATATGATTAAAGAAACAGATATCCTAGACCACTTTCTCTCCTTTATACATGTCTTTATAGCATCTACATGGCTGCTACAATAAAGAAATAATTCTTGTATTTTAGACTTAATGAGGGTTTCTATTAAATAATCTAAAAGTGGTACGTTTATAATGGGCATTAGGATACTTGGGAATATATCTTGCATTGGTGTTAAATTTGTCACAAAATCATCAGCAAGAACAACAGCTTGCACAATGTCCTTTTTACCCATTTTCGTATCCATTGTGTTTTCTTAATTCTGTATGATTTTTAAACTGTTCAAAACATATTATTTCTTAGAGGTTATAGAATACCAGACAGTATTTATTCCATTATGTTGAAACGTAACAAATGTTCCATTTATTCATTGTTGGTGTAACTCTTTGCACTCCAAATGTATATGTACATTTTATTTCAGATATAAATACTTTTTACGTATAATTGAAGGTTTCATTCGTAACGTATGTATCTCTCCAGATTTGTATGAAAGTATCACCACGAGTAGCTTTATAGAGTTGCAACTCTTGTCGGAAGTTTTTATGTTAGCGCCAGTGATAACTTCAAGTTGTGCATGCGTGTCGGAAAAAGCTGAGCGCGCAGTACTGTAGCTATAAAAAACGATGCATGGTCCTAATTTTTTCAAAAATCATTATCATATATACTTTACAAGGTACATTAAAATTAATACACAACAAAAGAAAGATTATTATTCAAGAGATTTTCCATTCATAATGTTTTTTATATTTATTATATACATTTATTTATTCAGAGTTACTATACATCATTAAATTATTGTTTAGATCTTAGGTAATTTATGACTGACTTTAGAATAAATAAGCAATGCAAAAGAAACAATAATTTATCTTTCATATAGGTACAGGCGTACTTTGAATTTACGTTAAATTCTACTCTGTGCCGTTGCTTTAAAACGGTCAGAACCTTTTTTCACTTGTAAGTCGCTTGAAAGACCCACGAAATTAAGAATATCACTATATCAGTTCGTGTTAACGTTACAATTACATATTAACACAACAATTAAATAAATAAGAGCAATCAGAGCTTTTTTTTTAAATATCTTATTGAGACTTTCGTGCGGTAAGAACGGAATACGCCTATATAACAATCATTTTTTTCAAACTTACAATTAGTATTATATAATCAGTTTGTGTTTACATACATTAGTATAATGCGTAATGTATTCTACATTCGTAGTGTTCTTACTCCTCTTCTCAATAAAAATCATGCAGTCGTTTTATAATTTAGGTAAGCAAATAAATTTGTTTGATTTTATAGATTTTTTTACATGTAAAAAAGTTTAAATTCAAATTTTTATTAATATTGCTACAAGTAAATATGAAATCATTATTCTCATATTAAGTACTCATGTATTATAAGTAATGTACTCTACATGTATTTAAGGTATTATGAAATGATACTTATAATTTTACAGGTTACCTACTTACATTACTATGTTGAAGGAACAATATATCAAATTAACTTGTTTTGATTTATGCAAACTATAGGTAAACTATTGAACACAACTAATTTGTTGACATAATAAAGAATATTATATATTTTGTTAAACTAAAAATACTGCTAAGGGATAATAGACAATAAATATATTAGAATAAGAATATTTTCATTCGCAAAATCGTGATTTAAAATCTAAATTAATAAGAGTGACTTTTGAATTATTAAATTTCTCCCTCGAAATTGTTATAATTTTTACAAGGTAAAATTTTTTATAAATTTCTTACATACAAATACAAATATTATCATATAATTGCAGTCATTAAGTACAATATTAGATTTTATAAGAATCATAGCATAGTTACAAATTTATGACTTTTTGAAGAATGTTTTATTTTTTTTAACAATTAAAACTCTTCGAAATAAATAATTTGATAAACATGAATGATTTGAATATATAAATAGGTATGTACCTATATATATGCATATACTGTTTTCTTAATATTCTAATGATTACTAGGCAATATAAATACATGCATATGTCATATGATTCTTTGTGACATAAAGATATCTCTACTAATATAAACTTACAGATACTAATAATGCATGAGCACTCATGTAAGCTATATGTAGAATAAAATTGTAATTCTTTATTATGCTGTTACTGGTAGTTTGTACTCTTTGTTAACAACATAGAATTTATGTTTCTTGCCAAATACACCCCATATGACAGCAACGTTCTCAATGAACAAATTGAAAGGAATCGTTGATAATGCTCCACATATAAATAGTATAAACCGAGCAATACCAAATCGATACAAAGAAAACGATTTAACTACTCCAAAAACATACATGTAAATATTCACTGCACCAATGAAAGCGCATAGAAAATCTATAAATGGCGGACAAATAATGGGATAAAGTCCAGCTAATACAACATTCGAAGTAGAAAGAGGCATTGTTACCCATGAATAACAAGATATGCCTAGAAGTATCTTTTTATTTAATGGAATAGCTTTGGAATGTACGACAAGTAATATACCTTGTAACCATCTTTTTCTTTGTTGTATAAAATCCCATAATGTAAACGGTGATTTCTCCCACATTTCACCATCCACGAAGTTGAACGAATATCCTTGGGCAAATGCTTTCATCGCAAAGAAACAATCCTCTGCGACAGACCCATCCAATCCATTGTTGAAAGAAACTTGCTTTTCTGCACCCATCTACGATATAAATTTATTGTTATTTTTCATTAGAACTTTCATCAGTTCATTCTTCGCTCTAACTTTTAATTTATTTGTTGCGTGATAAGATAAATAACTACCTGAGTAACAACATAGGAACCTTTCATACTAAAGAATGGCTTATGAAACATAGTGAATTGTAATCTTAATTTTCCCATGTCATCTGCTACTCTAAAGCTATCTGCTAAAGTGGTGATCCAATTAACAACATCTTCATTCGCATATGTTATTAGTCCTTGGCCAAATTCATGTTTTCCATCTAATACAAAATTCAGTATTCCACGAATAGAATTTTCGGTTAATAAAGTTTCTTCGTCAAGGTGCACAATCCAATCGTGATCCGCTAATTCGTTTACTGAATTTTCTAAGCAATACTGCAAAGCACGTGCTTTGAACATAGCACCACTACTTGTGCGGTAATTAGGTGGTACAACAACTTCTCTGACTCTTCGATGAGGGGATAATCCAATCGGTTTATCGCTTACTACTTCAATTTGAAAATTCTCTAAGCCTGTTTCTATACACTTGTTTAAGTTTCTGTTCACATTTGCTTTCACTAGTTGTGGGTAGTCTCCACGCGTCACTATTCTAATGCAGATGAACGGCGCTAGCAGTGGCGAACCTTTTAACACAACTTTGTCTGGGAATGCGTTGTAAATGGTCAACCCGATAAAATTGAATAAAACTTGAGGAAATGAAAGAAACGTAAGCGTTCGTAATAGGTACAGAGTTATTGTACCAACAACTCCGTATTGAACCCATGGGTCTAATTGTTCTTTTTTATCACTGTTCCATCTAATTCCACCGGAAACTAATTCAAAAACAATTATAACGATAAGTAGTAGACAGCAGTGTAGGACATGTTTCGTTGCACTATTCAGCATTCTTCCTGAAAAGTATAAAATAGAAAATTATAGACATTGTATGTATATTTTGATCTTGTTTCTAATACTAACATATAGTATATTTCAATACTACATTTCAATATAGATATGTGTTCAAATCAATATACTTCATAAAATTAATATTAAAATTGAGATAACCATGTCAATTTGTAGTTAGATACACAAGTAGAAAACTTATGTAACATTTCAGACAGTAATACATAGTAATATCACGAAGTAAGTTTCAATTTTAAGGAATAATAAATTATCGTGTAAATTTTCATGAAAATATAGGATTCTTAGGAAGACTTGACCGTTCTTTCAATAAGTTGATATTTAAGGAATCTTATAAAAATTACGTTTATATTCATTTACATGTTGTTAAAAACACTTTATGTACCTTTTTTATGTGTAGTCAAACTTAATATGATATTGAAAAAGTATATTCTTATCCCATTGTCAATGACAACAGGTGAATATAAGTGGATGTCACAAAAGATGATATACATACCTATAAAGATCGAATTAATTTTCATCATATTAACAGCACTTTTTTGTCATTAAAATCGACTGATTCAAAAAATGACTGACACTGACGCATGCTTTGAATTTTTTTTTATCGTAAGATGATATCAAATCTCGATATGAGATAAGAATCAAAATCTTATAAATCGATTATTCTCAAGTGTCGACAGATAATTGTTTTATAATCCAAGGACGATAAGAATCACACTTCACATAACAATGATCAAACATTTGTAATCAGTTTTCTTGAGTGGTTCCTAGAATTTCTATAAATCGAATTAAGTACATGTTTTTTATTTGTACACTGATTCCCTAATGCTACACTACAATCTTACGACGGCATCGCGAGCGACCGTTGACCGTTTACACGACAAATGACACACAGTCATAAATACTGATATGCACTGGGGATTAATTCCTGAATTCTAGAAGAAAGTTGCTAGTTGTGCACTAATCGAAAGGTTTATTTGATGGAGACGTCGTTATACTAGTTGGTAGTGGCTACTTTCCAGTTGCAATATTCCTAGACATTTTCATATACAAGGTATCTCAAAAATGTTGTGATACCTTGAAAGAGATGGTTCGAGAGGTGGTTTGAAACAACTTTTTCCTTAGCGAAAATGTTGTTCGAAGCTTCGTTGAGGAGATATTAACGGAAAACACTGACCAATCAGAGCGCGAGGAAGGCTACGCGCTGAGCGGTCGCGTCAAGGTCTTTCGATGCACGTCGAGTCACTTGTTTGCGTACGAACGCGGCCGCTTAGCGCTTAGCCTTCGCTACCGCGGCCGCTTCAACGGTATTCGCGCGCTCTCTGATTGGTCAAGCTTTTCTCTTAATATCTCTTTAACGAAGCCTCAGAGAAAATTTTTGCTAAGGAAAAAGTTGTTTGAAATCACCCCCCGAACCACCCCTTTCAAGGTGTTACAACATTTTTGGGGCACCCTGTAACACGGCGACACAAGTGCATTCTAATTGACACACATCGACACAACGCTACACATACGTACTCAACTCGAGGGGTATTAGTCGGCTGTGTAAGCTTGTGTTTTCTAGTGATATTTAGTTACAGTATTTTAAGTTACGCGGGAATATCGTTGAGTGGGGGTTCGTGGTGGTAACAGCCAATAGCTGCAGAGTGCGGTCGCTACGTTTGTGAGCGAAAAATTTCTAGGCTTACTGAGCACTCACAAAGCGGCCTAAAGCGATTTTCATGTTTCGTGCACATGAAAACATTAGTCTACGCCTGTTAAATATTGTAGATGGCACTATAGTCGTTCATAGAAATAAGTTCACGATCTCCTTCTTCGACTCTCCACGGTCTTTATCGTCTATACACGCTCCGAACCGGTCACACGTTCTTTTTGAGCGTAATCCACGTTTCGTGTCGTAAGACTTAAAGGTAAATATAAATATAAGACTATCATTTTTGATATATAATATTAAGTATTACAAATACATCGTATATTAATAAATTGAACGATACGATTTATTTTCAAAATAATAAATCGTAGTCGAGGATGTTTTCCGATACTATTAATGGTTCAAGCATCGTTTATTCAAGCAAGAATATGGTCTTAGCACATTATCAAAAATAGAAGTATTTATCTATGTTCATATGTTTTATATATCGTTATAAATGTTCTTTTTGTATAAAAATAACTTCATTTTATCTGAATCGTACTTGCATAAGTATTAAATATGTATATGTTAATGTGTAAAAATCTGTTCAAATTGTATTTCTATTTCTCTGTTTTCACATTTTAATATATGATTGATTTCGTTTTATTGAAAATTCAGTTTACGTACATGATGAGTTAAACAATCACCATCTTTCGACTGATAACCGTGATGGTAATTCCTGTTACTGAAAAGAAACAACTCAATTAAAGGAAGTTTTATTAAGTAAAACAGAAATTAACAGTGTACATTATATTTTTCAGAATGCGTTACGTGGCCGCTTATCTTTTAGCTGTTCTAGGAGGCAAAGCCTCTCCTAGTCAAAATGATATCGAAAAGATTTTGTCATCCGTTGGAATTGAAACGGATGGTGAGAAGCTCAAGAAGGTTATATCAGAACTGAATGGAAAATCAATCGATGATTTGATCTCACAAGGTATGCTTTATTATTTAATTTAATTTATTAGACTATTTTCATATATAAACGATGTAAATAATAACTAAATAACGATGTAAAAGTTGAATAACAATATAAAAATGTTGTTTTAGAAAAATTATGTCTTCATGATTTCTTATATATTCATAAATATGATCTTATGTTTATAATAATAATTTTTTATAATAATAATTTTAATTGCTACAGGACGCGAGAAATTATCATCCATGCCAATTGGTGGTGGTGCTGCCGCTCCAGCTGGAGCTGCTGCTGCTGCCGGAGCAGCAGCTGCCCCAGCAGAAGAAAAGAAAGGTAAATTCTTATTTCACTAGCAATTATCTTATAAGAAAAACAAAATCGATTAATTCTAATTTCATTAACAGAGGAGAAGAAACCAGCAAAAGAAGAATCTGAATCAGACGACGATGACTTGGGCTTTGGTCTCTTCGATTAAGTACATAACAGCGTCACCTGTATAACTACCTGTACAACACACATGTATTATACAGTTTTAACAAAATGATTTGAAAATAAATTTATATTTTTAATTTATCATATGTAATCACGGTATCTTTGTATCATAAACGAAGAATGAATTTGTATTAGAATTGGTATTATCGATTACTGGTAATTAGTAATTTCAATGTCGTTTAAAGTTTTAATTTTAGAATTAACGTGATAAACTTAATTCGGTTTCAAACATAATTGAAAGTGGTAAATTCGTGTGAATCGATGACAATATCGTTTTCATTGGATTTCTCGTCAATTTAACTAACTTGTCGATTATTTAAAAGCATATGTACGGGAAATTTGAGCGTATTGGAATTATCTATTAGATTAGGATACGCATGAGAGGTTCGAGGAGCGTATGTACCACGTATACACTTGTGCGCCGTTGCGGCTTCATTCATAGCGAGGAGTGGGGGACATGGCTCGAGGAAAGGAAGGGGGCGGTCGAGATTCGGCAGAAAATCGAGTTGTATGTATTCTTACGCTGATAAGTATTTAAATGAACGCGATCGTTTGGACGTTGTTCGTGATATCGTTAGGTGTTTCGTTACGTGAACAGTATACAGTTACTATTTCGATGCGTTTAAAAACGTTTGGCAATAGAAAGATATAGGAATCGATCGAAACGGTTTTGTACTCGAGGAACTATTTTTAGACAGAGGGGCGGTCGTTGGCGGCCATGATGGGTGTCAGCGGCAAGTAGTGACGGCATTCGCTTTGCGTCAGTTGGTTTTGTGCGCTGATGGTTAGGCTGAGGTTTTCTGGTTGAGAAGCGCACCATAGGCCAAAACACTTGTACATAGAAACGGTAGATAGCCGCAATTATTATTTCGACTAATTAACAGCGGCTGGAAAACCTCAGGAAGTTTAAAAAAACATCGGAAAAATGACGCAGTTACTACCCATAAGGTTTCAAGAACATCTCCAGGTAGGTGACCCGCTTTCGTACCCGGTTCTTCAATTATTTCGACACGTCGTTGACGATCTACGGTTTTACAAGCCGCATTTTCAACTTCACCTTACGCTTCTAACGCTTTATTATTCCATTAGTCTGCTACTGCTTACTACACTCACGATAGAACGGAAGTTCCGTTAAAACCTTTCGAATTGACATTACTTTGACAGGTATAATACGATCGCATGCTATCCGATACGTGGAAATTTTCATGATTTCAGAGTAGATTCGTGGCGGAATACATCGAGATTAATCGAACGTAGTATTGTCCTATATCGGAAACTTGGCGAGGAAAATAAATTGATTTTTTTTATCAATGAGGGCCACGTATACTCGGCATTATACGCCCCTTATTTCCGTCTTTATATGTCACGAACTTATTAATTACCAGATTTAGTTTTTCTTTGCAATTCGCTAGATTCGATTAGGATTACCAACAAACGTTTCATCGACAATCTTCTCGCAAATTATCGACACCGACTTTGACCGACCTTATATCTTTGCAACGTATACATACACGAACATCACGTCTATCGACACGATCTCTATATCGACACGTATTTTCATCCGTAGCGAGTTTTTGCGACAACATTTTTAGTAATTGTTTACATAAATGGCGGCCTTACTAATTTCAACGGTTTTCAAGTATGCTTTTCAAGTATGAGGGTACATTAATACAATAATTGTTCCTTGCTCTCAGTTTTCAAGATGTAATTATCATAGGAACCCTTTCGTTGCCATAAGATTGTATTTGAAAATATTTGTCATTGTTCTTAAGTACGATTAGAACACGAGTCAAAGGTAACGGTCCAAGTTGATCTTGATTCATTTATAGAGCAACAATGGATACTTTTATATCTACACAATTTGAAAATGTTAAATTCATTATCAATGACCATTTCAATCTATTTAATTCTCTCCAACATATTTAAAAATTGTTGAAATTAGTTACCTATGCGTGAGATCACTGCTAATGTAAAGAATTATTTGTAAAGTGTTAAGAAGGGTTTCCATGAGAAGACATTGTTGTTGAAAGTACATGTCGATAAGCAGATCGTATTAATAAGACCTAGTGTCGATATATTGTATACATTAGTCATACATCAAATCACTCAAATTCAATATCATTGAAACTATTAATGAAACAATATCAGTAAAACCATTGGTGATTTTAAGTAGGTCCAAATTATTACATGATAGAGTAAACTTGTAATTTGAATGGGTATTTCATTCATTTTTTTCATTTATACGAGTTTTTATTTTAATTGAGGTACATTTTAATGTATACATTAATATTTCTATATTCGCTGTATATTCTAAATCAAATATATTCTACTTTTATTTTTATATTACATGTACTTTAACATATGGTGTTCACAAAATTTGAATATTCTAAGTGTATAACATCCTTTTCTTATATTTGTATATCCTTCAATAATTATTACAAGATATTACACTTTTTAATTTTTTAAATAATTACAATTAAACATTATTAATTAATATAGTATTTAACAGTAACTGAAATCATTGGTTATGTTGAAGATAGAACTTCCATATGTATTATTTCAGTTTCTGTTATTTCTAAATAGTTTACAATTCAGAATGAATAACATAAATATTAACAAAAGAATACACAATATAATTTGCGAAAAACAATATTTTAAGTTTGTATTTTATTGTTATTGTTACAGCTTACAGCTGTTGGAATTAATGCTAACAATGTTAGCTTTAACACACTCACTATGGAATCTGATAAGTTTATTTGTGTCAGAGAGAAAGTTGGTGATACCGCACAGGTAGTTATTATCGACATGAATGATTCTGCTAATCCCATTAGAAGACCTATTTCTGCAGATTCTGCAATCATGAATCCAGCAAGTAAAGTCATCGCTTTGAAAGGTAACGAATCATTTTTTCCCTCAATTTAAATTAAAATGAAGCATATATATTATAAGTAGTAGTAGTAATATTATCAATATTTAGATTGTGGATGTTTATGTAAATTCATATTTTTATTGATTCATATAAAGAATTGAGATTGAAATAAAAGTATGTTATATCTTCTATAAAATGTATGTTATTGTTGATATTTTATATATTTTTGCACTTGTCCAGATTCTCACAGATATTATAGTATCTTTATTTGTCATAAATGCATAAACATCCACAGTCTATTAATATTATTTGACAAAATTAAATCAGACTACATTTTGATATCTTGCAAAGTATATCTGTTCATAAAAAGAACAGATTCCGCCTTCTAGTAAAAAAAAAAAAATACATCCATTATATTTCTTACAATAGCACTGAAAACACTCCAGATCTTTAACATAGAGATGAAATCAAAAATGAAAGCTCATACGATGACAGAAGATGTCGTGTTTTGGAAGTGGATATCTTTAAATACTCTGGCATTAGTAACAGACACCGCAGTATATCATTGGTCCATGGAAGGAGAATCGACTCCGAATAAAATGTTTGATCGACATTCCTCGTTAAATGGTTGTCAAATAATCAACTACAGAACTGATCCAAAGCAAACGTGGCTTTTATTGATTGGTATTTCTGCTCAGCATAATAGAGTGGTTGGCGCCATGCAGCTTTATTCTGTTGAAAGAAAGTGTTCCCAACCGATCGAAGGACACGCGGCTTCTTTTGCCCAATTTAAAATGGAAGGAAACGCAGAACCGAGTAACTTGTTCTGTTTCGCTGTTAGAACAGTTCAGGGTGCAAAGCTTCACATCATCGAAGTCGGTCAACCTCCTGCTGGTAATCATCCTTTCCCAAAGAAGGCAGTAGACGTATTTTTCCCGCCAGAAGCTGGAAATGATTTTCCTGTAGCGATGCAAGTCAGTTCAAAGTATGATGTTATATATCTAATAACGAAATATGGCTACATACACATGTACGATATCGAATCTGCAACATGTATATTTATGAATCGCATATCTGGAGAAACAATTTTTGTCACTGCTCCGCACGAAGCATCTGGCGGAATAATAGGAGTGAATCGAAAAGGTCAAGTATTATCTGTATCCGTCGATGAAGAAAACATAATCCCATACATAAATGGTGTGCTGCAAAATCCCGAACTTGCATTGCGAATGGCCGTGAGAAACAATTTATCAGGAGCTGAGGATTTATTCGTGAGGAAATTTAATATGCTTTTTCAAAATGGACAATACGCAGAGGCAGCAAAAGTTGCAGCAAATGCTCCAAAAGGAATACTTCGAACTCCGACAACTATTCAACGATTCCAACAAGTATATTTGAAGCTCATAATGAATTACTGTGCATAATGTATCGACGTAAGAATAACTGTATGTATGTGTGTGTGTAGGTACCAGCTACACAAGGACAAACATCACCTTTGTTGCAATATTTTGGAATACTTTTGGATCAAGGACAGTTAAACAAATATGAATCTTTAGAATTATGTCGCCCAGTGCTTGTACAAGGACGTAAACAACTTCTTGAGAAATGGTTGAAAGAAGATAAACTAGAGTGTAGCGAAGAATTGGGCGACTTGGTGAAACAAGCTGATCCAACATTAGCTCTTAGTGTTTACTTAAGAGCTAATGTTCCCAATAAAGTTATACAATGCTTTGCAGAAACTGGTCAATTCCAAAAAATAGTATTATACGCGAAAAAAGTTTCATACACTCCGGATTATATATTTTTGTTAAGAAATGTCATGAGAATAAATCCTGACCAGGGTGTAGCATTTGCCCAAATGTTGGTTCAAGACGAGGAACCTTTAGCTGATATCAACCAAGTATGTATAATAATATTTATGATGTCTGAAGTATTCTTTATTAAAAATGAATTAATATTTCCTTATTTTTGTAGATTGTGGATATATTCATGGAGCAAAACATGGTGCAACAGTGTACAGCATTTTTGTTAGATGCTTTGAAAAATAATTGGCCGAGCGAAGGACCTTTACAAACGCGTCTTTTAGAAATGAATTTGATGTCTGCTCCGCAAGTTGCCGATGCGATCTTAGGGAACCAAATGTTTACTCATTACGACAGAGCTCATATCGCGCAATTATGCGAAAAAGCTGGATTGTTACAGCGCGCTTTGGAACATTACACCGATTTGTACGATATTAAAAGAGCTGTTGTTCATACACACTTACTCTCTCCAGATTGGCTTGTTGGATTTTTTGGAACATTATCCGTTGAAGATTCTCTAGAGTGTTTGAAAGCAATGTTAACTGCTAATATAAGACAAAATTTACAAATTTGTATTCAAATCGCGACAAAGTATCACGAACAGTTGACCACTAAGGCATTGATAGGTATTTATTATCTATTACATATTCTTCTAAACGTACACTTTGTATAACTAATACTGTCCAATTTGTATAGCTAATACTGTTATTATTTTTAGATTTATTCGAAAGTTTTAAATCGTACGAAGGATTGTTTTACTTCTTGGGATCTATCGTTAACTTTAGCCAGGACCAGGAAGTGCACTTTAAATACATTCAAGCAGCTTGTAAGACTGGACAAATTAAAGAAGTCGAAAGAATTTGTAGAGAAAGTAATTGTTATAATCCAGAACGCGTGAAAAACTTCCTCAAGGAAGCAAAATTGTCTGATCAGTTACCTTTGATAATTGTGTGCGACCGATTTGATTTCGTGCACGATCTTGTACTCTACCTTTACCGAAATAACTTGCAAAAGTACATTGAAATTTATGTTCAAAAAGTGAGTTTATTTATTAATATGCTTTAAATTTAGAATACGAATAATGAGGTTCTTTTTCTTTGATTACGCGTAAACGAAGATGTAAAATTTCCGTTTAATATTAGCTTGGTTCATTTTTAGGTAAATCCATCACGTTTGCCAGTTGTAGTAGGTGGTTTGTTGGATGTTGATTGTTCAGAGGATATAATAAAGAATCTAATTTTGGTAGTACGCGGACAATTTTCGACTGATGAACTCGTAGAAGAAGTTGAGAAAAGGAATCGTTTGAAACTCTTGCTTCCATGGCTGGAGTCTCGTGTTCATGAAGGTTGTGTTGAGCCCGCGACGCATAATGCATTGGCGAAAATATACATTGACAGTAATAATAACCCTGAAAGATTTCTCAAGTAAGTTTGCTAAATTAATATACATATATATTTTATGAAAGTAAATAAAAGCACCAATGATGGATGGTCTTGCTGCAATCTTTTTACAAATCTTTCGGATAATGAAAATTTTATATATTACGTATTTTACTAATTTTTTCTTTTTTAGGGAGAATCAGTTTTATGACAGTAGAGTAGTAGGGAAGTATTGTGAGAAACGTGATCCGCACTTAGCATGCATCGCATATGAGCGTGGTCAGTGTGATCGGGAGTTGATAAGCGTTTGTAACGAAAATAGTCTTTTCAAAAGCGAAGCCAGATACTTGGTACGACGCAGAGATCCTGATTTGTGGGCTGAGGTTCTTCTGGAAAGCAACCCATACAAAAGGCAATTAATAGATCAGGTTAGTCAATCTTGTCTTAATTTCGGGGTACCCCCGTACGTAAAACTACTGTGCAGTCGCTGAAATTCTTGTTCGTAGGTTGTGCAAACAGCTTTGTCAGAAACTCAAGATCCTGAGGATATATCCGTTACTGTGAAAGCCTTCATGACTGCTGATTTGCCAAATGAGCTTATCGAACTCCTTGAGAAAATTGTACTCGACAGCAGTGTTTTCAGCGATCACCGTAATTTACAAAACCTCTTAATCCTAACAGCAATAAAAGCTGATCGTACGCGCGTAATGGAATATATAAATCGATTGGATAATTATGATGCCCCTGATATCGCTAACATAGCTATTAACAATGAACTATACGAAGAAGCTTTCGCTATCTTTAAGAAATTCGATGTTAACACGTCAGCTATTCAAGTTCTAATCGAGCAAGTTAATAACTTAGACAGAGCTTATGAATTTGCTGAAAGGTGAGACTTTATTTGTAACAAATATAGTATTATTTGTTATCTTTTCTTTTAATCAGTTCGTTTACAAAGATATATTAACATATATATTTTTGTAGGTGTAATGAATCACCAGTATGGTCTCAGTTAGCTAGAGCACAGTTGCAACAAGGTTTAGTTAAAGAAGCCATCGACAGTTTCATTAAAGCAGATGATCCATCAGCATACGTCGATGTTGTCGAGACTGCACATCGAACCTCTCACTGGGAAGACTTAGTTCGTTACTTGCAGATGGCCCGTAAGAAAGCGCGTGAATCTTTTATCGAAAGCGAATTAATATATGCATACGCAAGAACCAATAGGCTTGCAGATCTTGAGGAATTCATTTCTGGGCCTAATCATGCTGATATACAAAAGGTTATACACACATACAAACACATAGTACTATTTTGAAAAACTCGCGTTTTTTAATGTAAATTTATATTATGTAATTATTTAGATTGGCGATAGATGTTTCGATGACAAGATGTACGACGCTGCGAAACTTTTGTACAACAATGTATCGAATTTTGCACGATTAGCTATTACGCTTGTTCACTTGAAAGAATTCCAAGGTGCCGTTGACAGTGCTCGGAAAGCAAATTCAACTCGCACTTGGAAAGAAGTATGTTTCGCTTGCGTGGACAGCGGAGAGTTTCGATTAGCACAAATGTGTGGATTACACATAGTTGTACATGCTGATGAACTCGAGGATTTAATTAATTATTATCAAGATCGAGGACATTTCGAAGAACTTATTAATCTCTTAGAAGCTGCACTAGGACTTGAAAGAGCACATATGGGAATGTTTACTGAATTAGCTATACTTTATAGCAAATATAAACCTCAACGAATGAGAGAGCATCTCGAACTCTTCTGGTCCCGCGTTAATATACCAAAGGTATGCTATTTAGGATCTATATTTTAGATCAAATTTGATCTAAAGTGTAGTGAAGAATTAGGTGCAGTAATTTATCAATTTATAGGTACTTCATGCAGCAGAACAAGCACATTTATGGGCAGAACTTGTATTTTTGTATGATAAATATGACGAATATGATAATGCAGTACTCGCAATGATGCAACATCCTACAGAAGCATGGCGAGAAGGCCACTTTAAGGACGTAATAACTAAAGTGGCAAACGTCGAACTTTATTACAAAGCTATACAGTTTTATGTTGAATATAAACCTCTACTTTTGAACGATATATTACTCGTACTTGCTCCGCGTATGGATCATACAAGAGGAGTTGCATATTTCAAACGGACAGGGCATTTACAACTTGTAAAATCATACTTAAGATCAGTTCAAGCTTTGAACAACAAAGCAATTAACGAAGCATTAAACAGTCTACTTATCGATGAAGAAGATTATCAAGGTCTCAGAACATCGATTGATGCGTTCGATAATTTCGATAATATTGCACTGGCACAACAATTGGAGAAACATGAATTAATCGAGTTTAGAAGGATTGCTGCATATTTATATAAGGGAAATAATAGATGGAAACAGTCAGTGGAACTTTGTAAGAAGGACCGACTTTTTAGGTAAATTATACACAAATATTTAAAGTTTTATTGCGCGATTTCATTAAATACTACACTGCGTATTAGGAATCAGATGAAGTTTTGTTAAAATCCACGAAACAATTACGTTTTTGATATGCAGTCTAATAAGTTTTACTTTCTCAAAATCATCCATTTTTTCTTAATTATTATATTTATATTTCAAACAGAGATGCTATGGAATACGCCGCGGAATCTCGAAATTCCGAAGTCGCCCAAGAATTATTAGAGTGGTTCTTGGAAAGAGGATCGAAGGATTGTTTTGCAGCATGCCTGTTTCATTGTTATGATTTGCTTCATCCAGATGTTATTCTAGAACTTGCATGGAGAAATCGCATTTTACACTTCGCCATGCCTTACCTTATACAAGTCGCACGAGAATATATTTCCAAGGTACGACTATTATTTAAAACATGATTAATGATATTACACGAGAGCACAGCAGTAGAGTTTCATGTGTATTTCAACAGGTTGATAAACTGGAGGAAGCTGAAAGTCGGCGTCTCGAAGAAACTGATCATCAAGAACACAAGCCTATGATTATGCGTAAATATTTATTATTTTCACTATTGTAAAGTACATTTGGTGTATTTTTTTTTTATAACCGTATATATTTTACATTTGCAGCTGAGCCTCAGTTGATGCTGACAGCAGGACCAGGTATGATGGCACCTGGTTATGCTCCACAAGGTGTATACGGTGCGCCTCCGCAGAATGTTTATGCGCCTACAGCTGCAGCGTATCAGGGCTATGGTATGTGAAATACAATGTGCAACGCATTAAATAACAGAGATCAACAAAATCTACTTTTCTATAATATGTAGGTAGAACAAGATTATTTCAATAGCCCATAATTATTATTAAATGCTGACACAATATCATTAAAGAGAAAAAAGCATTGCTGCGAAACAATTGTAATATAATACAAATAATGAATCCAAAATAAATTACAAAATATTTAAGCGCGAATTTCTAGTTTATGAGTAACATTTATAAAACGATTAATTTTCTGTTACAATAATCAAGGAGTACGTGTAGATTCATTGTTTACTAAATTAAAATCATATTAAAAAAAGAAATACATACTTTTCAAAGTATGCATCGTGTTACGGACCTTCAAGCAAATATGCAATAGTTAATTTTAGATATCCTTACTACATTGAAACATTATTGAATTGAATTCGATTCATTCATATTAATTTGCAAGGTAATCATTACATAGTTTTACAAATATATAAATGTATTGTGTACGTACGTGCCTTTGTTTAAGTATTGAACAGAATTTTAGTTTACAGTAATATAAAATTAATGGTCTTAAAAAAGATACTTGGTAAGTTTCGCTTTAATAAATGTCACAAAATTATGAAGTGCTTCCTCTTTGGTAAAAAAAGAAAAAAAAAAGAAACATTTGGCTAATAATACGTAAATGACCATTAAAAGAACATAAGAACTTGAAGTTGACGTTTGTTTGAGTCCATTCATGGAAAATGATATAAAAAAAATATATTATTCTGATGCATCATTTTTAGTAGCAAAATGAATCTATTTATTTAGATTCGTTGAAAAGTTGTTGTCCCAGTCAAATGTATGAGCCTCAAAATACTTAGCAAAATAAATAAAAAAAAAAAAGAAGCGTCATATATCAGTACATCAGTATAACAATAAGGGTAAACAAAGCTAAGAAGTCTAAACTGTATGTAATGTATCTAGAAACTTAAATATAGCGAAGATATAAAATACGTTTGTATGTCTATCAGTGTATACTTTAGCATCTGTGTGTGTCGTTGCTGTGGCATGAATAAATAAAAATCTAGCATTTGACCCGACAGCTAAAATGTGAAATATAGAATAGCAACGTTGTTATATGTTCTGCTAAAAAAAAAAAAAAATGATAATAAAGGTAGCTCTCTGATATACTCTTACTAGACGAAAAACGTATTTAATCTATTTAAAAAAAAAATTTTTTTAAACAATTTGGTCATATTGATGTATGGATATATGTACTAAGACTTGTTTATGTTGGCTACAATATTATTACCTTACCCTCTTTTTGTACACGTTAAATTGAAAGCATGCAACGCCTGTAAAAATATTCGAGGGTTTTCAAATACATAAATTAATTGTAATTTTGTTTATTAACGTGTTCAGTCTTGATAAATGTAATTTGAAGCTTTTTTTCTAACTTTATTGTATTTGGTTAATATAATGTATGTATAGTATCCTATTTGGATGTATTGTTCGTTGAATCATTGTATTAATGTATGATGAAATTATAATACAAGTATTAATGTAAGTTGAGAGGTCAGATTTCAGTGCATATGTAGAAAATGACAGAATCGTATTGTTAACGTTTCTGCTCGTTAAATGATTTAAATTGTCTGTATAAAATGCTCTCCTAACAGGTCAGGATCAATGTACAAGATATGTCGGAAAAATTCAGTCATTTTTCTGGCACATCTCACATTCAATGTTCCTAAAAGAGCAATTTTATTGCATAAGACATTTTCTTATGTCACGCATCTCAGAATAAATGAGAGGTATGCACTTATAAATTGTTCTCATTAATTCATAAGCATAACACGAAAGTTGGAAGTTAAAGAAACTAATACGACAATGTAACCAGACATTTTCGCATACAGTAGAACAATGTTCATTGTGATATTGTCTATTTAAAGTGACTTTCGTTTGGTATTTAATGAGTGCAGTAATTTTGGCTGCATGTATTAAATAAAAGTGTTAAAATTAGATAATGCGGACGAGAATCTGTAACATTCCTAATAATCACTTCATCTTCATTGAAATTATGTAATGAATAAAGTTGTAGATTGAAAAGTGTATTTAATGCTGTTTTAAAATCAAATAGTAATGTACAGAGTACAGTAGTGCCATCGTATACGTGGATTCAATATTTGCGATTTATCGTGGCCCCTTAAAAAATGTATTTTATGATTCTTAGTGTTCCGTTATTGAAGCTGTACATTATATTTAAAACATCAGAAGGTTTTACTTTAAATGTACAATGTAATAAAATCTTACTGTGCCTAATTTATCAATTAAATTTCACTGTATTCACGTGTATTGCCCTGAATTACAGTGGCACTACTGTAATTGTATCATTGTTTGGATATTATAAATTATAATAAAATATTAGTAAATTTGGAAATAAACGTACTAAGATTGATTGTTAATTATACAAACAAAACCACATCTCTATAATATTGAAAGTCAATATAAAATGTGAATCGATTATCACTATTAAATTTCTTTCAATAAATAGTGATATGATTTGAATGTGTACTTCTTTATATTAATTATATATTTCGATGTATTCATTTGTTATTTGTTAAAATTGGACACTATTTCGCTATGGAAAAATAACACTCTGATATCTTACATTCTTATATAGTGATTTATTATTTAGCAAAGTGTTTCTCAAACTGGCATCCATGAACATGGAGGACTACAAGGAAGTATATTTTTCATTAACATCATTAAAATCTAAATATAGAATGACTAAATCTGGAATTAAGCTCCAAACCATTATTTTACATGTACCACTGAAACCTTTAGGGACTGTAGGTACGTTTGTAGTTACAGGCATGTAAAGAAAACTGAATGATGGATAATAGAAAGTAATCCATGCTTTTTGTAGCATAAACATAAGTTAATGTTTATTGTATTTAATATTTATGTGATACAAAACAATAGAATATATCAAATAGAAGATATCAATTCACACATCAGAGTTCATAGACACGTCCACTCTTTAATTTTTTTATTGTTCGTTCAGTAGGTCTAATAGAAAGATCTTTTCCAAAGAATTCTAGTTTTACTCCATTTAAACAAATATTCATAACAACCACATCCTTAGGTACAGCTGAAAAGCAATGCAAATATGAACGTGTATAATTTAAATACATTTAATACAAGAGAAAATAAAAAATGATTCGCGTACTTCTAATGACATTGTCTTTTCCACATATTCTGAAGGTAGTTTTAGTATCTTGTATAACTATTCCACTTATTCCAATTAAACTAGGGCATTTTGATTCAACAACTGACACTTCAGCACCATGGAAATCTGCTTTAATTAATTGTTGATTAACTGTTTCCCAATTAGAATCTGTAGGATCTTTTGGTACATTATTAAAAAACTTGTCACCCAGCATTTGTTGCATATAGTTTAACCATAATTGATTTAATGGTAACAAATCATTATATTTCATATTAGTTTTACAACCAATTTTACGCAAACCAAGTTGCATTCGTTTTCTACTGGTCAACAGCTTCCCCTTACATCTTTTCTTTTTATTCCATTTACTTTTATGTTTACTGAGTATAAGTGACTACAAAATAATTATACATTTTAGCTTATATAATTTTTTTTTTAGACAACATTAGTACTATTCAATGTAGTTTATCTCTTAGAATCGTTTCTTAATCTCTACCAGAATTACCTTCCTCAATTCGTCTTGTATAGAGCAAGTATCATTAGATGGCAATGTATTTTGTAAAAAGTTTGTTATATATTGTTCGCTGTTTTTACACGTACTAATTTGTTTTGTTATACTATTAGGCAGTGTTAAACATATACTACCTGTAACAGTGAATACTAATTGTTTATGAAAAAATAACATATGATGGCCATAATGTTGATATATTATTTCATATATACATACGATTTGATTCTGCCATTACAGTAACTAATATAATATAAACAATTAAGTAATTGGGTGTGTTTTGGTCACTGTCAAATCTCAATAATCAAATTGCAATGTAAATACAAATGAATAGTATAGTAAACTGAGCATAAACTGAGTATACATATCAGTGGTGCAGCCTCGTGGTTCTTTCTCAACTGTAACTAATCAAAACAAAGCTCAATTACATATTTTTTTTTCCAAGAAAATTCTAAAATTATTATGTGATTATGATTTTTAATAAAACAAAGTAGTAATTGCTACAATTACAGTTGCAATTTGTTTCTCAAGTATTATTTTATCCAACGTAGTCGTAGTGAAATTAAGGACGCGGCAACTTAGAAATAAACTAACACACCGGATAGTTAGGTTGCCGCATATCAGGGGCACACCTGCGCCTACGAGATGACAACCA